ATAATACACCTTGAATGCGGCGATGACGCCTTGGTCCATAGGCTGCATTAGTGCTGTTGTGTCGGGAAGCAGGAATACAACTTTTACACTGTCATGCAAGTCGTCAAGATTGGGAGGATGAGCTGGAGCAGTGTCTAGGATCAGAAGAATTTTGAAGTCCAGGTTCTCCTTGGCACAGTATTCCTTCAGTGCAGGGATGGTGTACATGTTTAACCAATGGCTAAATATGGCGCCGGTTATCCAGGCCTTCTTATTTGCCTTGTAGATCACAGGAAGGTGATCCTTAGAGTAACCTTTCAGGGCCTGTGGGTTAGCAGCGTGAGAAATCAGCAGAGGCTTCAACTTGAAGTCACCGGCAGCGTTCGCACCAAGCAGCAGAGTCAAGCGGTCTTTTGCCGCTTTATAACCTGGCGCTCTTTTCTCCTCCCTGGAGATATAGGTCCTCTCAGGCATCCTCCTCCAAAACAGACCAGTCTCATTCACATTGAAGACTTGCTTCGGTGAGTAGCCTCCTTGCTGGATAATCCATTAGAGTTCTGGCGGGAATGTCTTGGCAGCTTCACCAATCATCTTTATGTTATGGAAGTTACAACGACACTTAAATCGTTGAAACCATCCCCGGCTGGCCGTAAAGGTCTCTTCCTTCGATCCTTCACCCTCTGCTGCCTCATCCTTGGCTGGCCGTAAAGGTCTCTTCCTTCGATCCTTCACCCTCTTCTGCCTTTAAGTCGTCAAACAAGGTTCTGGCCTTATGCTGGATAACCATAAGGCTCACAGGGGCATTGCGTTGATTCTGGCCCTCCATTGCCAGCATCTAGTACGGCTTGTCTTTGTTGCACTCAGAGGTGTACCACTTCCAACACTAACCTTAACCTTGTCAGCGTTGGTTCGGATAGCACGCACTGTTGTGGGGGATAGACCAAGCACAGCGGCTATGTTCACAGCACATTCTCCATTTTCAAATTGGGTTAATACATCCATTTTCGTAGCCAGGGTAACGGTCTTATGTTGCCTCTACACTACACTAGCAATAGTAGCACTTGATGGGCACTTGGAAGCCATTTTGAATGGTTAAAGAACAGTTTTAGAGAAAAAGCACTTAAGCACGCACGAATGATGTGAAGTCGTAACAGAGACTGGCTTGGCGTCGCTTGGGGACGCTATGACGTTCTGCAAGTGAGGGCAGCGCGCCGAGTCGAGAGTGCGTAGCACGGCCAGACAAGATCGGGTGATGCGCCTTAGAAAGAAGTCCGTGACGACGCAAAACGATGAAATATTGGATCACCAGGACATTAAACAAGTTTTTGGTCTCTAAAGTTCAGCGACGTAATACTGAAACAACGTTAAGCGGGACGACGTTAAGTGATGACTTACTGTATACTGTATTACACCACAATTACCGACATACTTCATGTTAGGTTGGCTAGATGGCTACGAGCGAAATTCTGTAAGTTTGATCTACGTATCAACCCAGCTGGTGCTGTATGGCAACTCGACCAACTCAACTTTAATAACAAAGCACGGAGTTGACTTGAGGGTAGACTCGCATTTTTTCTACGTCACATTTTGTTGTCTTGTTCCTTTTTATTTGTGAGAAGATTTCCCCATCGTTTGACAGATGACTCTCTTAACGCTGGGATGCATGGCCAAGTGTTCTTATCATCCTTGTGTTTAGATAATTTAGTAGTAACTCCTGACAACTCTTTTTCCTCAATACTACAGTACAGAATTAGTTACCACGAGGCTACATGTTCCTCTCTTGTAAACACTGAGGGAAAAGAATTCATTTAAATCATTCTTCACATATATGTACAGTACTTATAACTAGTTTCACACCTGACACTCACTCATGTTCTCATATATAGATTTTGAAAATGGTAGAAAGCTGTTAGGTGTGACAGGGTTTGAGTTACAGCCCACACCTGGAGCTCTCTTTACAACACCACACCTGGAACTCTCTTTACAGCCTACACCTGGAGCTCTCTTTACAGCCCACACCTGGAGCTCTCTTTACAGCTCACACCTGGAGCTCTCCTTACAGCCCACTCCTGGAGCTCTCTTTACAGCACCACACCTGGGCTACAGCCCACTCCTGGAGCTCTCTTTACAGCACCACACCTGGAGCTCTCTTTATAGCCTACACCTGGAGCTCTCTTTATAGCCTACACCTGGAGCTCTCTTTACAGCCCACAGCTCCACCTACACCTGGAGCTCTCCTTACAGCCTACACCTGGAGCTCTTTACAGCACCACACCTGGAGCTCTCTTTACAGCCCATGCCTGGAGCTCTCTTTACAGCCTACACCTGGGCTCTCTTTATAGCCTACACCTGGAGCTCTCTTTACAGCCCACACCTGGAGCTCTCTTTACAGCCTACACCTGGATCTCTCCTTACAGCCTACACCTGGAGCTCTCTTTACAGCACCACACCTGGAGCTCTTTTATAGACTCTGGAGCTCTCTTTATAGCCTACACCTGGAGCTCTCTTTACAGCCCACACCTGGAGCTCTCTTTACAGCCTACACCTGGAGCTCTCTTTGCAGCCTACACCTGGAGCTCTCTTTACACCTGGAGCTCTCTTTACAGCCTACCTGGAGCTCTTTATAGCCTACACCTGGAGCTCTTTACACCTGGGCCTCAGCCTGGAGCTCTCTTTATAGCCACACCTGGAGCTCTCTTTGTAGCCCACACTCTGGAGCTCTCTTTATAGCCTACCTGGAGCTCTCTTTACAGCCCACACCTGCTCTTTATAGCACCTGGAGCTCTCTTTACACTGGAGCTCTCTTTACAGCCCACCTGGAGCTCTCTTTATAGGAGCTCTCTTTACAGCCCACACCTGGAGCTCTCTTTGCTTTGGAGCTCTACTTCTGGACCTGGAGCTCTCTTTATAGCCTACACCTGGGGCTCTCTTTACAGCCTACACCTGGAGCTTCTTTAGCAAGCTCTCCTACCTGGGGCCTTACAGCACTACACCTGAGCTCTCTTTACAGCACACCTGGAGCTCTTTACAGCCACACCTGGAGCTCTCTTTACAGCCACACCTGGAGCTCTTTACAGCCCACACCTGGGCTCAACACAGCCCATGCCTGGAGCTGGAGCTCTCCTTACAGCCCATGCCTGGGCTCTCCTGCTCTCCTTACATCCCCATGCCTGGAGCTCTCCTTACAGCCCATGCCTGGAGCTCTCTTTACAGCACCACACCTGGAGCTCTCTTTACAGCCCACACCTGGAGCTCTCTTTACAGCCCATGCCTGGAGCTCTCTTTACAGCCCATGCCTGGAGCTCTCTTTACAGCACCACACCTGGAGCTCTCTTTACAGCCCATGCCTGGAGCTCTCTTTACAGCCCATGCCTGGAGCTCTCTACACTCTCACTTAGTTTTGTTTGGGAACTTAACTTTCATCTTTCTGTCTCACTGGTCATTAGTGGTGATCCATCTCTTGAAATTTTTAGATATCTTCATAAACTTAGCAACTGCTACTGTGTTGAAGGCATCATGGTTGTTCTTTAAGTAATGGGCTTGGTCGTGGCCCTGTTTGTATGGTTTTACATCAGATATTTTACTTTACCCTTTTATGATTCCTGGGATGATTCCACATCCTTCATTTTCAACAAGTGTGGCCATTTAATGCTCCCTTATTCCTCCCCCATTCTGTCCTGGACACCATTTGAACCTTGGTCTGCTTTCATCACGTACCAAGTGACATTTAAATCTGAAGGAAAATGTCACAAGATGGCTGGTGGCAACCGGGGGTAGATGGTAACTGTTCCTTCCTTGTTAGTTATGATGAGATCCAGCGATGTTAGTGTATGTTCAACTCAACAGTGAATCATATTTTTAACGTTCTGAAATAATATAAAACTGTCAACCAGAGTTTCTGCAGAAGGAGTTGTAGGGTCATTAAGGTCATTTTAATGTTCCAGCCAATACATTATCACAATACTTGAAACATATTTACTCAGAGTAAACATTGTATCTAAAATTTGTATGTCTAATGCAAAATCTATGATGTTTATATTCAAAATGATCATCAAATTGTAAGAATTCCAGCAATGTAAATTATATTCTGACCGGGTTGGAAGAGGGGGGGAGGCAAGGTGGGGTACTTTGATTGACAGATAGTGTCGTGAAGATTATTATTTTTTTTATTAACTGAAGATATTTGTTTTAGCTCATAAAATTCATACAAATTACCCGGTCAGAATATAATTTACATTGCTGGAATTCTTATAATTTGGTGATCATTTTGAATATAAACATCATATATTTTGCATTAGACATACAAATTTTAGATAAAAAATTTTCTAGTAACTATGTTATCTTTTGTGCAAAATATATGACATTTATATTCAAAATATTCCTGGTCTTACAAGGAATCCAGCAATGTCAATTGTATTATCCTAACTTTAGTTTGAGGTATTATTTATTAAAATTTAGTGGTTTTCCCCCAAAAATTTCTCAGAGAGGGAAGAGCTGGCAGTGTAGTGTGAGAGGGGGAGGGAGTTGAGTCCATTATTTTGAATGGCATTAACTTGGCGACTGTATTTCTATTTCATGCATGTACTATCATAAAATACATGTTGTTTTACTACAAATATACAAGTTATGTAATGTAAAAAGTGGAGTTTAGTCGGGCCGTTTCTATTGAAATTAATCCTATATGTTCTGTTGCTCACTTAATGTGATTTCACTTTCTAACACTCACCTCTGGGTTCTATTGACCAAGTAAGTGGGATATATTAACTGTATATATATATATATATATATATATATATATATATATATATATATATATATATATATATATATATATATATATATATTATATACATATATATATATATGCTATATATTGCTGCTGCTACATATATATATATATATATATATATATATATATATATATATATATATATATATATATATATATATATATATATATATATATATATATATATATATATATATATATATATATATATAATATACAGTACTGTACACAGATGTTGCAGTACTAGCAAGAGAGAAGTCTGAAGGACACAGCACCCGTGAGATGGTATCAGCCATAGTGAGGTCAGCCTGGGGGTCAGCTCAAGAGTGGACGGTGGCCTGGAAGTGTGGTGTGTCACAGCTGAAGATTGTGGTGGGGGAGCTGGTGGGTGCAGGCCAAGACGACGAACTGGGTCAACATGTGCATGCAGCCGCACAACAGCTGCATCGGGCTGTTAGTAAGATGGTGAGATAATAGAAAATTAAACAGTGTACAGTACAGTATTAATACTGTACAGTACTGTAGTATGTGGAATCTTTGTGACTAACATTATGCCAGGTTCTCAAAAGTGGCAGTATTAACTGACAAGTTTTGACCTCTTAGATAGATAGATGAACACCAGTGGATATTTTTTAGTAGAATTATCATACAAGTGCGCATTGATTCAGCATATACAGTACAGTACAGTGGTCTCTCGGTTAACGAGCACAATCCATTCTAGAAGGTTGCTCGTTGACCGAAAAACTCGGTAACCGAAACCATTGTTTCAATGGGTTTTTGGGTAATTGGTTCCAGCTCACCGAAAATTGCCTAAATTCAACAAAAAAGGTAGAAAAGTACACTTACTTTGAGGTGTGTATGTAGAAGGCTCCTGGATGATGATGATGATAATAATGATGATGGGAATTAGAATGGGGGTGGAGGAGAAGGGAGAAGAGAAGGCATTGGGGTGGAAGAGAAGTCACCCCATGGTGCCATTTCACCCATAAAATTTTAGTTCTCTTGGTGTAATTCAAGATTTTTTCTTTAAATCAACACTGCACTGCATTATATATTGTCAATATGTAAAATAAATTTCAAAATGACCAATAATTTGCTTGCAAACACAGAAAAAAAGCATTTAGTTGAAGAGAGGCTCAAGCAAGATGTTACCTCCACTGAAAAGACACAAAGACTGACGCCTGTATGGTGTGTTGAGAGGCTGGATGGCGCACATAAAACTAGTTTCATTACCTTCAATTATGTTCAATAATTGTTAAAATTACTAAAAAAATTAATATTAAACTTTTAAAATTATTGAATAGTATAAACTTCTTGATATTTGCTAAAATGGTAAGGAATTTAAGCCCTAGAACTGATTACTGTATTGGTGGACTAATACTACAGCTGGTGAACCGCCAAATGCAAGCGAAAACATGTTCAGGTCGGCTCGTAAGAAACTCGTGAACCGAGGGATTGCTCCCTAACCGAAGTTAAGAGTCTTATGGAAGGTAACTCGTTAACCGAAATCTCGTTAACGGAGGCGCTCGTTAACCGAGGGACCACTTTACACCCGTTTTTAAGGACAAGTTAAACAATTTGCTAAGGGCATACTAAGTTCTTCCTTACATTAATTTAATACAGGTACTCCTCGACTTACGACCACCCGGACATATGACTGCCGCAGTCATACAAAATTTGTTTCAAATTACGATTTTCGAGTCCTGATGTTAGTGATCGCGCTGTGTACTGACAAAATTTTTTTTTGTAATTCCCTTTAAAATGGCTGGCATGCGTAAAAGTGAGAGTTCTCGTGGTGCTGAGATGAAAAAGAGACACCCATTTTAGATTTTCTATGTATTATTTTTGCATTTTCGACTGACGACCTGGTCGTCGGTCCCTAACCCCGTCGTAAGTCGGGGACTGACTGTACCCTGGCAAATATCTCATCGGGACCTGGTGACTTATTAGGCTTTAACTTGTCTATTTGCTTACTAACATCGTTACTAGTCACTACTATCTCGCTTAATGTATTTTCTTCACTGTCTCTGTATAGAGTCGGAGCCTCGGGTGTCATGTTTAAATATCTCTGTGGTGAAAACTGTTGAAAAATATTTATTTAGATTATTGCTCATTTCTCCGTCGTTATCAGTTAGCTCGCTGGTATCTGACTGTATTGGTCCAATCTTTTCTCGTGTTTTAGTTTGATACATTTGATAGAATCCCTTGGGGTTTGACTTCGCCTCCCTTGTTACCTTCAGTTCATTAATCCTCTATGCTTTTCTTATCTGGGTCTTAACCCTACCGGCCAATACCTTATAATAATCTCGTCGGTAAACTTCACCACGAATTATTCTCCTACCTATAGCGTTCCTTTGTCCAATAATATTCTTTAAATAATTGTTTATCCATTTAGGGTCATTGTTGTTTGATCTGAGTTTTCTGTATGGTATGTTCTGACTTTGTGCATTAAGTAACTCATTATTTAAATTGCTGTGGAACTCGTCAACCTCAGATCTCGTGATCAAGTCATCCTCAACCGTCATATTTTGTGAGGATATCGTTGTCAGGTCTCCAGGAAAGTGAGGTCGCCCTCTGTAATCCATCCCCAAGCATGATACCCCTTCTCTCAGCTGCCTTTTCAAGCTATCAAAGTTTGCCCTTCTGAAAAATGGGACTTTAATGGAATTTTCCTTGCATCTGCCATTAAATTCTAATTGAAATCTTATTTCTTTGTGATCGCTGTTAGCAAGTTCGTTCCCTACCTCAACATTACTAATGAGGTTTTCTCTGTTTGATAGATCTAAATCGAGTATATTATTACCCCGGGTGGGTTCGGTTATAAGTTGACTTAGGAAACAGTCCTGAACTGTTTCAAGAAAATCCTCTGATTCTGAGTTACCTGTAAGGTCGATCCAATCTATTTGGCTAAAGTTAAAGTCGCCTTCTATACAGACTTTGCTATGTCTGGAAGCCCTGTGCATTTCATCCCAAATAAGTCGCTCATTAATTCTATCAAGATTAGGAGGTCTATATATTACTCCTGTGATTAATTTTTCCATACCATCGACTAATTCTATCCAAATTGTTTCTGGACTCGGCTCAGTTTTTATTTCCTTATTTATTTCACACTTCAGATTATCCCTGACACAGATTGCTACTCCGCCTCCTTTCCTAATCTGCCTGTCGGTATGGAATAATTTGTAACCTGCAAATTGCTATTCGACAGGTAACTTATGAGTCTGTTTATCCATGTTTCAGTGAATGCTATTATATCAATTTTTTTGGTACATACCAACACCCTGATTTCACCCATTTTGTTTCTCATTCTCCTACTGTTTGCAAAGTAGACATTTAAGTTAGTCGTGTTCTGAGTCCTCCTTGTGTCGCGTTTAGGTTTCAACTCCCTGCCTAATTTGTTTTGTCATCATTTCTAGCACTATTTCCCTGTAACCTTTCACTTTGTTTACCCGCTCCCACTGCAGTCTCCTCCGCCTCCATGCCCATATGTTCCCCCAGCAGTTTAAAGACTTCGACATCTTTTGAACTGTCCTCTCGAGAGAGCCAGCCAGGGTTGCCACCCCATCCCTAAAGTAAAGGTCCTTTTTGCCATAAAATTTGTCTCAGTTGTCAATGAATGGGACTGACATTGACTTGCAATATCTGTCAAGATGGCAATTGACACCAACTGCCCTTGACAACCATTCATTGCCAACTCTCCTTCTAGGTAGGACACCACATATGATAGGGATCCCTCCCTTCAACCTAATATGTTCTATAGCTGTCTTGAACTTATCAAGAAGCTCCTCACTCTTACACCGGCCAATATCATTGCCTCCTGCACTGAGGCAGATATTGTCCATCCAGTCAACTATATTCCCCACCCCAGCTCCTGGTCAACACACCCTTATTCTATTTTTATTTCTACCACAAAAAGCTCTATCCAGGTACCGTACCTGTGAGTCGCCAACAATTAAGGTTTTCTTACCTTCCTTGTCAGCCTTGTCCCTGACTATGCTAACGTCCAATTCATCTATCAAAGGACTGAAAGAGTTGGTACACTTAGCTGTTGCTGTCATATCTTTGGTGTGTTTTTTCACCACCAGTTTGGTCGTCCCTCTCCTCACAACCTTCCATTCACCTGAGTTTTTGTCAGACACGGGCTTTCCTTGTTTCGTTTCTTCCTCCATCCTCACTATCACTTCCTTTAATGTCAAGTTTTCTTCTTTGACCTTCTCTAGCTCGGCCAGTAGCTCGGCCCCCAGAAGGGCACAGCCTTGTTCACAAGTAGCACTAGCCATTACCGACAATTTGTCCCCGGGAGTTAAGTCTGCCATGACCTTTCCCCTAGCGAGGTCAGAACACAACTGTGGTTTGTACAGTACTGTATTGTTTGTACTGTATACTGGCCTGTTTGTACAGTATACTGGCCTCTTTGTACAGTACTGTATTGTTTGTACAGTATACTGGCCTGTTTGTACAGTATACTGGCCTGTTTGTACAGTACTGTATTGTTTGTACAGTATACTGGCCTGTTTGTACAGTATACTGGCCTGTTTGTACAGTATACTGTATTGTTTGTACAGTATACTGGCCTGTTTGTATAGTACTGTATTGTTTGTACAGTATACTGGCCTGTTTGTACAGTACTGTATTGTTTGTACAGTATACTGGCCTGTTTGTACAGTATACTGGCCTGTTTGTACAGTACTGTATTGTTTGTACTGTATACTGGCCTGTTTGTACAGTATACCGGTTTGTACAGCACTGCATTGTTTGTACAGTATACTGGCCTGTTTGTACAGTACTGTATTGTTTGTACAGTATACTGGCCTGTTTGTACAGTATACTGGCCTGTTTGTACAGTGTACTGTATTGTTTGTACAGTATACTGGCCTGTTTGTACAGTATACTGGCTTTTGTACGTACTGTATTGTTTTAACAGTATACTGCCTGTTTGTACAGTACTGTATTGTTTGTACAGTATACTGGCCTGTTTGTACAGTATACTGGCCTGTTTGTACAGTACTGTATTATTTGTACAGTATACTGGCCTGTTTGTGCAGTGCATACTGGCCTGTTTGTACAGTACTGTATTGTTGTACAGTATACGGCCTGTTTGCAGTACTGTATTGTTTGTACAGTATACTGGCCTGTTTGTACAGTATACTGGCCTGTTTGTACAGTATACTGGCCTGTTTGTACAGTATACTGGCCTGTTTGTACAGTACTGTATTGTTTGTACAGTATACTGGCCTGTTTGTACAGTATACGGCCTGGTACAGTACTGTATTGTTTGTACAGTATACTGGCCTTTTTGTACAGTATACGGCCTGTTTGTACAGTACTGTATTGTTTGTACAGTATACTGGCCTGTTTGTACAGTATACTGGCCTCTTTGTTCAGTGTTGTATTGTTTGTACAGTAATTGCCTGTTTGTACAGTACTGTATTGTTTGTACAGTATACTGGCCTGTTTGTACAGTA